TCGGGAAGGGGGCGGCAGCGCAGGGAGGGCGCGGGGCTGCCGTCCCTGTGGAGAACTTAGGGCCCGAAAGAGAGAGGAAGGAGAAAAACAAAACAACAACAACAACAAAAAACCCACTTTCCAACTGTGCTGTAGGTTGTGGTGAAGGTCTTGAGAGATTAAAAAGCAGGTGCCAGGTGGTGCCCTAAATGACCTGGGAAGATCAGGAGGCAGAGCCAAGGCGCTCGTGACTTCCAGGAAACGGCTAATCGTGCTCGGAGCTGCGGAGCGTTGGAAAGGAGGGACCGCTCTCCTCCAGCGGGAGGGATTAAACTGCCGTCTCGCTAACAAATAGTGGTTTGAATGGCAGCCTCTTCTTCTTGCGAAGGGAGACTCCATCACGGTATTCTTTTTCCCTGCCTTTGCCTTTTTGTTCAGGAATTGTGGCCCAGATCTTTTCTGGTCCTTGAAGATACACTGTGGTACTTCCTTGTTTTTTATGCTCTCAGGATATATGCTCTTTAATTAGAGCTTCTTATGGAGGTAAAGCTGAGAAAATAGAATGATTTTGTACCATTCACAAAGATGACTTCTTTGCATATTTTTCTGAACGGGGCATATGGTGGGATGTGCCAAAGGATATTATTAACTTTGCTGGTCAACCTGAACCTCTCTCTAGTGCTTGCGTAAAGGTAGCAAAGCTAGTTTATGCACCACTTAGAGGGATTTATTAATGCTTGGCAGTTTGAAGTTCTGTATTGTACGACAAACTCAATGAATGCTTTGCTTTGAATCTTACATTTGTATCTTAAACTACTTCCTGTGCATTTTTCCTCTATCTCCCCTGTTTAGTAGGGAGGAGAAAGTTTTAGCTGTTAGCTGTAATGCTGTGGAATTTGATAATGATTTGCAGGACCCTTGTTACTGAAAATCTTCAAGTAAGTCAGTGTTAAGACCACTACTAGAAAAAATATGTAGTAAGCTACATCCAACCTAAAGGTTTCTTTGTTCCTCTGATAGCTTGTGTCTTAGCCATTTTTTTTTCATATGAATTGCTCTACTTTACAGCCCCTCAGTCACCTTGAGTGCTCCAGATATTTCTGAATGGTAGCCAGTGAGATACACAAGTTCATGGACAAAGCTGGCAGGAGAATGCCCAAATATAAGTTTGAATAGTTTTAATTTGATTAGTCATCTGATCAGACTTTTTCAGCACCTCTCATAGATATGGAATTGTACAGGGTCAAAAGTCTGGAGAGCTGTAAATTGTTTTTTGAGTGGCTTATGAAGGGACTCATGGTGAGAACGCTTGCCAAGAGAGTAGACTTAAAAATCTGGGACATATCCTTGGGTCATGTGAATTTTGGTAGCATATCACAAATACAATATAGTAAGTGCAATGGAAAATGCAATAATGAAAAAGAAATGCAACTTTCATAATGCTTTTAAAATAAAAACTAAAATTCAAAACACATCACCTGTATCATGACAAGGTGTTTTAATCTTCAGCTATTTGTGGAAAGTAAATTCTTATGCCTGAATTAGGTATTTATTTTTATAAAAATACTTTGAATAAGTGACCTGATTCCTTTCTTTTTGGCACTTCAGAGTGTCTACAATTTTGGTGCCAATCTGAATTTGTTAGTAATCCCTGAAAGCTTGCAGTTAATGAAGTCTCTATTGGTAAACTGAGCACATCTGACATAGAAACTATTGAAAGAGTACAAATATAGCTATTTTTCAGTTGCCCTTTTAAAAGTGGGGCTAGGATAACTCGCTTCCTACTTTTTTTTCTGTATTTTCTGACAGTCTGTTTTCATCGAGGTGACACCGTATTCCTTCTACTATCTATCCCATGTTCATATGCATATGGTAGGAGTTCATGTATAGTCAAGGAGATGGAATAAAATACTATCCAAGGTGAGCTCTAGGATTACTTACCACTGTGTATCTGTTTTAATTTCCCAGCATACTAATAGAATTAAGCTGTATGCAGTTGCTGAACACTGCTTTCTCTGGGGCAGATAGTGTTCATATCATTAGGCAAGAGATGCTAGTGAAGTGTGGTTTGACATATTTGAACTTAAAACCAAAGTTGTCAGAGCTAGTCTTGGTGAGACAAGTGTGTGGTTTGCTTGGTGAGTCAGAACTCGCCTGCAGATGGGAAAATACCCGAGCTGTTCTACCTTAACTGCATAGCAAAGCTGAGCCTTGGGGCAGTGACTTTTTTTTTTTTTTTTGTCTTGAAAATGGCACAGCATGGAAGTGACTTGTCCTTGCTCACAGATGATACCCCACAGAGTTCAAGCTGAAACCTTGTTCCAAGTGTCAGGCTGGCATCCTGGGCTCTACACTTGTTCAGCCCTTTTCTGCTTCTCTTTTATAGATCTGTAAGAGTTGCTGTGATAAACATTGCTATAGTATTTGAGGGTCATACAGACATCATTCAACTTGTTAATACTATAATCCTAAATTGGTCTTCAGCATGTTGCATTGGAACATCGTATTTTCAAACTGGTAGGGCCACAGAGTTAAAATCTGGAACATCGTATTTTCAAACTGGTAGGACCACAGAGTTAAAATTTTGTAGGACTATACAGGAAGTCAATACTGGAGTGAGATATAGAGCACAGCTCTGCAAGACACACTTGTGCTGTTACCACATCACCCTTCTTGGTTTGATTTTTTTCTACAGAGAAGATTCATTTCTTTTTCTTTATCCCCTGCTTGGCATGCTACTCTTGGGGATTTTTGCTTATCTTCCTTAGCCCAAAGAGTATGCAAGAGGAAGCTTAAACACACATCTCACCTTCTCACTTTTAGCTTATGCCTACAAGCCAATTTAGATAATCGTAAATGTAGAGGCCTTGAAACTTCTTGCCTTTCCCTTTGAAGTCAACTAACCTATTATAATTGGGTTATTTCTTCATTTCTATGAAGAACTAGGTGTAGGAACTAACAGAAAAGGTAACTTTTGTAAGACTTAGTCAAATTATAAAATCTTCATAGCGTAGCATTGTAATATGACCTAGATGATAACATATTTCTGAGTCAGTAAATGAGACTTTGACTCATGGTCACATCTTTGCAATTCATGTCACGTTGTATCACGATTTACAGCAGGGCCGACCGTACTGCTGGCATGGTGCTGAAGATGGCTTAAAAGTTCTTGGATGGCTGTGGCATTTTAAATGAGAGGGTGGCTCCCAATTTTTTGAGCACTAAACTCTGCAGAGGTTGGAAGCTACTACTAGGCTTATTACAGGCAGTATTCTGCATTTAAGCAGTGTTACTGGTCCCTGGATTCAGCACTCTGCTGCAGCCAAGAGCTGGAGCGCCTGCTTCACATCGTGATGCTGCCCGCCTGGCTGGCCCCTTTCAGAAGCACCTGCCACTGATGGGAATAGAAACTAGCCTGGCATACCAGCACTGCGTGTTTTTGCTGAGGGGGAATTGCCATTTGGCTGCTAAGGTTTAATTAAGCTAGGAATGACTTGAGAAAATAAATGGCTGAAGAAAATAAGTAACAAGCACTGAAGGACTGATTCAAATTGTGTGTTTTGTGTGATAAAGTTAAACCATCAGAGTTTCTCTAAGTATATAGTTTGAATGAATTGAAAGCCTTTTGCTGGTGACAGGACTTACTTGGAGAGCTCATGCTGACCAGCAGAGTAGTTGTGAAGCCAAGTTGAAATGTATCATGACAGGAAAAGATGCCTATTCTGTTTTGTTGTTGTTATTTAATAAGCTATCAAAATATTTAATTTGCAGCTTAGTGTGGAATAATATGTGGTGTTACCATTTTGTAGTGTTTTTTAATATCTGGAAAATTAATAGGAAATAAATTATCATTTGATTTTGATTTAGCAAGCACCTTGAATCTGTCTCCATGTTTTGTTTTCATGATATAGTTAGAATCTCTCCAGTGGCGATACCAACTTTTTCCTTCAGAAGAGCTTGTTTCAGTTCTTTAGTCAGGTTATTTCCAAGGTGCTTCTTAAATATTTAGCAGCTGAAGGTGTCAGGGAGTCATAACTGGAGAGGCAGTATTAACCTATTTCAAATAGGTGGTTTGGGGGGATTTTTTTAATCCATTCAAGCCTGCTTTATTTATTTATTTATTTTTACTTTTTCATTTGAGGGCTTTTGCGATATCTATAACCTTAACTAGACTTCAGAGAACATACTATGTATTTTTCAGGAATTTCCTCAAATTCTCTTCGGCCCAGTAAGGAGCCAAGAGTTGGAGAAAATACTTTTCAATGCTTGTAATGGTCTAAGGTCTCATGAATGTAGTAAGAATCTCAGGAAAATTTGTTATGTTTTATGCATCTTCTTTCTAAAGTGGCCTAGAAATGAGCATGCCTTTTGGAAATTTCATTACTCTTTAATGAGGTCTGAGGCTATGAGGAAAAAAGGGTTGATTTATGTTCTTCAGACAACTATAGATCCCAGAGACCTGAAATACTTTTAAAAACTGTTTCCATAGGGAGGAAGCTCTTCCTCTTTCTTCCTTGAGAGAGGAAGGACAGACACTTGACTGCCTTCAAGTTTTATTTCAGGGGATTCTAATGTGTTTTTAGGGCATCAGGTTAAATTCGATGATAAATCCTTTAAAGATTCATCAGCCCTTAATGGCTAAAGGGCACTGGTTGGTGCAAGTTTAGGTCATTTGAGTGCTTTCCCCAACACTGCTTTGTAGGAGAGGTTATGAAAGGTAATTCTGTGGGACCAAGTATTGCAAGACTTGCATTGGGTAGAGTGGGATCTTGCTTCATCTTGAGCAACTGTCTGTTTGTATTGGCATTACTCTGATTCCAGAAGAGGAAGAAAACCAGTGGTGCTGTGATTGCATGTATTGTCATTTGTTTATTCCCCTTAATATTTTCCTGTTAATGCTCAGGAGTTTGTTGTTTCTGCTGGCAGGTATGTAAGTGGGAGGATTGCTTTTACTATTTCAGCATATTTAAGGCTATTGTTTTTTCCCTAGATCAGCAGTACAGGCTCGAATGGCAAGATCTTCTGAACAGAAAATGAAATAGTAGTGCTAAGCAAAACAGATGTTTTTGATATTGAAAATGATGTTTATAGCACATGCTTTTTGATCAGTATTTAAATGTAATCCTAGCTGTCCCTGCAATATGCAATAAAGTTGCACTTCTATCTTATAGATCGTGAAACTGACTGCCTAGCTAAAGAGAAAAATACATGATTAGTCCTTGGGAAGGCTCCAGCTTCTCTCCATCCAAATGCTTAGATAAGTGACACTTCTAAAAGAAAGGTTTTGTGTTAGATATAGATACAAATACATTTGCCTTGGATACTTCTAGAAACAGAGATTTGGAGGAGAGGAGCTGTGTCTTCAACGTGTTGAAGGAGAGACTTGAGGAATGTGGCCCTCTCAATGTAGTATTGACTCTGCATAGTTAGGGCACCCAAAATATTTCAGTGCAGAAGCAGAACTGAATAAAATTTGCTAGAGAATGTTAATTTTCCTTTAGTGGAATTTTTGGCATAGTAAGAGGATACCCTGAGTATGGCTGGTGTGATCTGGTGAATTGTGATAAACAACAGATCTTGTGAATTTTAGAGTGGAATGTGTTGCAACATATAACTTCAATTTGAAGATCTTGGCAAGTGTGCTTCACAGGGATTATGTAGTGGAACTTTAATGGGTGGCTTTGAATATTTTCAATAGGGTGGGGTGTTGTCATAATAAGGGCAGAAATCTCACTTTTTTACAATGCATGTGTTACAGTGTCCTTGCTGGGTTACAGAGAAGGAATTTAGGTAGTTACACCTGCCACTAAGACCTGTACCACCCACTTATTCCTTGCTGTGGCAGGATAATTCAGAACATGCTTGAGTCATGCTGGCGCATGAACCTTTGGTCTCTGGATGAGGACAAGCTTTATCAAGCTCCGTTGGTACCTGTAGGACTGTAGGCAGGGATGAATGTGGATTAGGAGAGAGTACTTTGGGCTTTAGAGTTGGTAAGTAATTAATGAATGGGTTGCTGATCAACTGTGTTGCTTTTCTGGTATAAGTTGACCAATATGTGCATTTCAATTTGTATGAAGCAGCTGACCAGTGCCTTTTCTTTGTCTCTTGCAGGCTGGTATGTGGTCTGGCAATTGTTTTTGTCTAAATTCAAGTTCCTGAGAGAATTGATAGGAGATACAGGGTCCCAACAAGGGGACAACGAGCTTCCCGAGGCTGAAGTTGATCAGGAGACTCCACCCTCGCCACACAGAGGTAGACAGAAATCTGCTCGCCAGCGAAGGGCACCTGCAGAAGAAACAACTTAATACTCCCTTGGGCTGACTAACGATGAGTGGTTCAGCACCTCTGCACTGTCTGTGTCATTCAGTGGCTTCATCTTATGGGAAACCGACTTAAAAGGTCATATAAACACCTGTGATCCTTTACTTTTGAACTACAAATACATGCTACTTGAGAGGTTCAGAGGCAGGGGGGCTGCTTTGGCAGCAAGTCAGTACTGGGGAAAAAGGAGGGGTAGACAAAAAATCTATTGGGAGGAGAACATTGAGTTGCTCTAGGGCCTGTCCCTAGACATGCAAACATGAAAACATTCTGGACCATAGGCTTAGTATTTGCTTTAGTCTGAATGTGGTAAATGCTTCGAACTTGAAATGGTTGGTAAATTATTTTTACTTTACAGCACTAGAACAGCTTCTTGTGAGATTGGGTTTTATTTCTATAGCTATATATAAAGGTATATATTTTTCTTCAACCTTATAAATGCATGTTAACTTGAATAACTGTTGGAAGTGTCCTGCTTTAGAATACTTTCTAAAGTGAGACTTCGGTTACGTTTTTATATATAAAGTAAAAATGAAATATAGAAAATCAATATCAAATGCATGTGATGTGGAGCTTTATCTCCTTAAAAATGGAAGATAAGGCCCCACTTCTTGGTTGTGACATCAAAAAAGGGTTATGGACTAAACAGTCCTGTCTTATTTCTGTGTGTTCTTTCTGAACATTTTGCTCTTAGTCCAGTGTCTGTTGGAGAGGGGAAGGAGCCTAGATGAAGTACTCAATTTAGTCTTCTGAAGTGTCATCTTTGTCTTTTGGTTTCTAAGTGCTTCTCTAGCTCATGTTATACACTCTTACATTAAGTATTTGGTAGAACTTTTTTCCTGGAATCAATTAATTTGCATTCTGTCCAATTGGTGGATACCACTGTAACACTTTGATAGTGTTATAGCAATTAATTTGGTACCTCATGTTTGATAGGTCTTAATGATTTTACCAGTAATAAGCAGTTGTTCCTGATTTTTTTTATATATATATATATGTATGAATTATATAGTCAACACCATGTCAACACTGTACTTCAGAATTGAGATCCCCAATTCTGTTCATTTTGCAGCTCTGGAGGTCAGTGCATGAGTTTAGGAAAGAGGAGTTTGCATTTGTCACTTCTCATGTGTATATGTGCAAAAGCTACCCCAAAATGTCTTTTCCATAGACAGCTTTAGCTTTCCTCCACCATCTCAAAGCTGTTGAGCAGGGCTACAGAAAAGGTCTTGTCCTTTCAGGCAGTATGAAGTTCAAGCCTATGACTTTGGAAATTGTAGTTTGGTTTGCTCACACAACTATTAGCTGTTTGATCAAACAAACTTTCATCTGGGCAAAGAGCACTCTTTAATTCATCATCTGTGTAAAAGCTATTGGAAACTTAGAAGAAACTTTATCCACTTAAAAAGATTTGAATGCTTCAGTATTAAAGTGTGTAAGAGCTGCCCAGTCCTTACTTGGGACTCTGGAAGTTTGTCCTGGTTTACCAGCCTGTGTGTGTATGCATGCTTTGCACTACAGGGTTACACTTGCAAGCGTGATGAAGCAGTGCTCTGTGCATATCGTTTAACTAACCTATAAAAATGTTGATAGTCTTCTTCCTCTAGTCTTTCTGCTGACAAAAATGCCTATTTACACTGCTAAAGTAGAATTTGCATCTATTCAAAATGATTAAAAGCATTCAAAATCTCTTCAACTCTAGATTCTGGTTGCTTGATCTGCACAAAGTAGTGTCAAATGATATTCTTATTTCTGTCTTGTCGCATGATTAGACTTTCAGCTCAGCAGTGCTACTCAAGTACTGGAGCATCTTAAAAAAAATTGAACAGCTCTCTTGTGCATTGCTTATTTGGGTCTACAAAGAAAGAGTTTTTCTTGACATAGAATATGGACACTCCTCTTACACTTCAGTTGTAACTAGACATAAGTGCACCAAAGACAACAAAAGGCTGATGCTTGTAGTCTCCAGCTGAGATGAGTAACAGTTAAGTCATTTTCTACTTCTAGTAGCTGTGAAGAAAAGTAAAATGACAGCAATATACATACAGGATAATTGTTTTTTTAAAAATGGAGCAAGTTAATGAAAGAAATTCCACGTGGGTTTGAATGCTCACACTGATCAAGAATGCAATAAGATAATAAAGCTCTTGGCCATGAGGCTACTGTGAAACTTATGTGCTTTAGCTGAACAGCCTCTTCCTACCTTCCCTGTAGAACATAGGTTGCACTTCACTCCCCAAAGTTATTTTTTCAGTCTCTTTTTAAAAGCAGACACTGTTTTTGTTAATGCTACTGTGAGGCAGCTGCCAGTAATGATCTTACTAGTTGCAGGAAAAAGGCTTGTATTATGAGTTTAGAAATAATTTTGTAACATTCTTTTATATATATATATATTTTTTCCTGTTAAGAGTCCATAGTTAAACCTTCATATGGGGCACATTGTTTAGTGAGGCTGCATGTGTGAAAGCATACTTGTGGTAAGACCCGCTTGGTGATTGCTGGCAGTCCAATATACTTAGTTTTTACATATTTTTTTAATGATGTATTTCCAAAAAGTTGATTAAGTACTTAGGTTTGACTCATATAAGTCTGAACTGAGGAAGGCAACAGGTTACACAGTTATTTTTGTTCAGCA